ACTCCGCCTCATTCACGTGGAGCGTGGGAACAAGGTCGCAAAAAAGGAATATTTTCGCGCCAGAGGTGGTAAATTGGATTCGATTCAGATCTGCTATTGTTGAAAGTTACCTTATCACATTAGCTATCTGCATGTGGAGCTTCAGTTCTATATATCCAAGAATTATCTTTTTTTCCTAGGAAATCACTTTCGTTTGTCTCCTCGGTAAAATACTCTCAATGACACAACTGCACGGTTTACAGCTACTGTATATTCTACAATGCCTTCATGGACAATATGCAGCTGTTGAAAATTCGAAACGTCTTCAAATTGGTTTTTTACCCATGCCGCATCCCAGCAGTGGGACGCAATGTCGCCAACGTGTTAAAGAACATCAACCAGTTGAAATCTGATTTGATTTTATATGGTGTCTTTATCTTTATGATGTTTACATAAATTGAGGTTTTCTCGAGGGGGATGATTCAAAAAGTTCGCTTAGCTTCCGTTTTTCAAGATCCAGAAAAGCTGAATAATGTAACAGACTTCAGTGACGGTTTCTACCTTTAAACATTCAATAGCTGATGAGAACCGTTAATAAGGGGCATGAAAAATGTGCAACTAACGTAGCCCAATTATTAGCGCCTGCGATCATTTATCGGCCTTCAGCGGATTGATAATGGAAGAGGTGAGCGCTAACCATTAGGCATTTGCAAGTAATGGAAATAGAACTTGTTCACCTACTGAGCGATTCATATTGCACTGTATTGTCCGACTGTACCTTCTATCTATATCTACAGATCTATGTATAACATGGGCGTTATGGCAAAACCACCACCCGTCCTGCAAATATAAGCGTGGGCTCAGGAGCGCAGAGTCCGCTCGGTTACTCTGCTCACTACGATTCGATCAACACAGCGCAATATGAGCAGCTCAGTGAATGAACAAATTCCGTTCCCATTATGAAGATCAACGAAGCTTGGCGAAGCGGGCTAGCCCGTCGGAGCCGGGCTCAAGAGAAGGAAGAGAGCTCGGCGTCAGCCGGGCGATCCCGCTGGTTAGAACTATCTCATGAAGGCAGCAAAATTCTTCTCGCTCATCCCTATTCAGCTTTCACAGGTTATTGAAAAGCCAAAAGAAGATCGTTCGAAAATGACGGCATTAACCCACAATTAGTCGGGAAAGTTATGAGCTACCGGTGGCTCATATTGTCCCGCGTGGCCACTCAGCCACCGGTGGCTCATAATGTTGTCAGCGTGCTAATTAAATGCAGAATAGGTCGCGATACTTGCAAGAAACAACAACCGCAGCAGCAGTGCGAAGCATCCACGACAACTGGGATTCAGCAAAAAAAAAAGATATGAACTGCCCAATCTGTGTGTTCACTGTGATGATGGCATAGATTAAACCGAAGAATCCCACACATCAGAGAATATCAGAATAGCCATCAGCACAGGTTATCAGAAAAGCCATATTGGTGTACTGTTACCAAGCTACGGTCATTGTACTGTGTACAATGACCGCAGCTTGGTAACACTATCAGCGGAAGATTGGATCTACTTCAGTGCCGATCCACACGGCACTGGTATTGCACCACAACCCGACCACTGTTATGTCCAAATCTGCAAACGCGAGAAAATAATTCACAAGTTCCAGCCAAGTGCGGAGTCTACCCGTGTTCGCTGGCCTTTCTGAAGTTTACAGGACATACCTCATTCGGTGCCAGCAAAGCGATATCCTCCCGCCTCTGGCTCACTGATCCTTTATTCGCGTATCCAGAGCTAATACCATCTAACAGTGCAAAAAAAAAACGAAACGCGCTGTAAAAACTGAACTTATGGCAGAGAACTGCCTTTGAGTATTCGTGGGAGGGGCAACTAGAGGAGCTTCAAAACTGCCACTTTCGAGGGCCGCGCGCCTTCGTCATTCCTTGTGAAGCCGCGAAAGCGAGACAAGCTTACTTTGAAGTCCGATCCTTCGGGAGGATCATTCAGGATCCTATCCTTCAGCCACTCGTTATTAAGCGCCACTTGGAAAATGTGAATCTTCCGATGCGCCAAACGTTACAAATTCAACTTGTTGATTTCTGACCGCTCCCACGTTTGTGAACATGAAAAAACTTTCGTTATTAATCAGTGGTTCTCCTTTATAGCACGCTGATGACCAAGGGTCCAGAGTCTAATATCATACGCTCCAAACATCCGAGCAGACACGCAGATAGTATTCATCGCACTAATTCGTCAGCCCAATGTCTATAATTTCACTACGCGTTGTACAAAACATAACCGGCTTATCACTGCCTACAAGAGAGATTTGGGAAACCCTAATTGTCATTGGAGCGCGACACGGCATTAGAGCATGATTCGAACCTCCAAGCCGATAGACTTCCACTAGTTGAACGAAGATCAGTTAATTGCGTAATGGTATCACTGAATTCACTTTCATCTAGGGCGGTAGTAAACTTCTGCGAATGGGAACTTTATATATTTCCTATTCTAGAACTGGATTTATTAGGATGATGATGGAAGTTTTTGTACCTTATGAGCAGTGCAAGTATCCTAGAATTAATTTTCAAATAAGATGATTCAAAACAAGTGTGGTATAGAATGTTGACACTCCAAGCGTCCTTGAAGTGGACTAGAATAGCATTATGTACTTACTAGGGAAGGTCGTCAGGTCGAAGTGGCCATTTGTGATGAGATGTAGATCACTAGACGTGGTTTTGGACGCTGATCTTGAATCTGCCTTCAAAATTTGCAAAGCGATTCTCTGAACGGAGTTATGGAGCCGCGTTTACCACGCAACAGGTCATGGGATCGGATCCCTGCTGAGCTTAACTTTTTTGCTTGTTGCGCAAACGTGGCAAAAAGTGATTTTGCCGTCACTACTACTTCAGTTCTCACCTGAGCTTGTCTGAAGAAAAGTTTGCCTCCATTTATTACTGCGCTTGGACTCCTTGTAGACTACAGTGCACTACAGTGCTTCTACAAGGAGTCCAAGCGCAGTAATAAATGGAGGCAAACTTTTCTTCAGACAAGCTCAGGTGAGAACTGAAGTAGTAGTGACGGCAAAATCACTTTTTGCCACGTTTGCGCAACAAGCAAAAAAGTTAAGCTCAGCAGGGATCCGATCCCATGACCTGTTGCGTGGTAAACGCGGCTCCATAACTCCGTTCAGAGAATCGTTCTGCAAATTTCGAAGGTAGATTCGAGATCAGCGTCCAAAACCACGTCTAGCGAGCTACATTGCATTGCAAGTAGCAATAGCAGATCTGAATCGAGTCCAGTTTATCACCTCTGGCGCGAAAATATTCCTTTTTTGCCTTATTCATATTCCTTTTACCTTGCTCCCACGTTCCACGTGTATGGGGCGGTAGTATTCCGAAAATTAAGGGCTTATCTTGAAGATAAAAAAGCAGCAAAGCCTTACTAACTTCTGCATTGAAAACTAGTCCTTCTTCAAGTGTTTTGGTGCAAAAACGCCCTAGCATTTATGCGCACTCTTCGAAAATAGGGAAAAACTGCTTCTTCCCACGCGGCAGGCACGCGAAATGGCGCCTTGTCGCCAATGTGTTAAAAAGGGACACCCGCCAAGGGCGAAATTTTGCTGCAGTTGAGTTCCCATTTGTTGGGACCAGTTGAACCAGATCAGCTGAAACCCATTTTTCAAGGTATTGATTGCGTTCGAGCGTCCCCATCAAGAGGCCGCGACGCATACGCTTCGCGCTGGCCGCAGGAGGCCACGGATGCCGCGGAGGCACTGTGTATGGCCTGACGCTCCGGCGAAAATTCGGACGCCCAAGCTGCAACGCGTTAAGACGCGTTGCGTGGATCAACGGATGGAGGGAATTTTCCATGGTTTCAATTATCCTTGCTTCACCGCCGCTGCTTAGTTGTGAAAAAAAACGAAAAAAAGGTACTGCAGCTTGCAAACAGAATTAAACTCAAACACTCAAGTGCATAGTTACAATCGAAAAAAAGACTGGGGATGTTGAAATTCGGTTTCTATCGCCTTTTGCCAGAGCGTTTGGCCATTCTCCGATCGATACGTATCCATTTCCTCTTCTCCGAAACGCCACATTGGCGTTTCTCCCGTGGCTGATCGATACGCATTTATTGCTTTTCGTTCAACCCCCCGACCGCGGCGTTTTTTTGCCCTGGCGAAACGCTAGCTCGACCGCGTTTTTCTCTAGCGAAATCGATACGCACCTATTGCTTTTCGCCCAACCGCCGAACCGCTGCGCTCCGGTACGAGCGGTTGCTATTTCTCCGATCAATCCGTATTTTTTGCTTTTCGCCAACCGCCGTTCCGTCAGGGTCGCACACTGTTAACAATACCTTACTACGTTCCTCACTCAATTCCAACCTTTTTCACCCCACCTCAACGTTAACCCAGCCAGTTAGCAAGGCTCCACACAATTACCGCTGTCGAACTATACCTGCCCAAAGGTGTAAATGGTTAAATCAGAAACAAGCAGCAGCTGATTTCTTCTCTCCAGATTCATTTCGTTCATAATCACAATAGACCAGCCAGCAGTTGGCTTCTGACTGCAGGTCATTTTGTCATATTTTCTCGTTCCCTTCCTCCCTCGTGGAGTTTTCTGTGTTCTGCCAAAACTTGCACATTTTTCATAACCAGTGATACTTATGGGCAGTAGGTATTATAGTAACAGCGATTACGAACAGCTGGTAATAGGGTTGATGAGTCAGTTATAATCTCGCCTCAAATTGAAAGGCAGGCTCAGACTTTAAACCTAGGCCAGATCACACAATTTCGCAATAACCGGCTACATACAACCACCAGTACGGGATATAGGCTCCTACACGACCTAAGGGATCGTCACCTCTACACGTAATCCAGATTCTAATCTGAAAATAATTGGTATCGCCCATTAGAATAGTCCCAATGGCTACAATATCAGACAACGCAAAAAGTGATAAAGGAATCTCGCTAGAGCCATTGAATGGTGGTATAGGGCGAGACGCGAGAACACGGTGCAGAAGGTTGCTCTCGTTTCTCTGCGCTCTCATTACGATCAATGACGGCATTGTAACCAATCGAGGACGGCAAATAGGCGCAGGCACGGTTTTTTCAAGGATTCTGAGTTAGTGATTAAGACAAAGAGCTCATCGTTGAGGAGATTCCCAACAGGGGGGGGGGTCGTATTTGGCCGCTGGGAGAGGGGGTCGTAATGAGTGCGGCAGCCAGTAACGAGCAGCGCAAAGGTGTCAGTGTGCTGAGTCCTGTACAGCGAAACTTGCTTTGTAGAGAACTCGGATATGTAAAAAAATAGTACAAAACTTTCATTCTGAACTAATCCGAAATTAGCTAAAAAATATTATGAAGTTGACGTCGTTTCGTAAGTACGTGGATGACTAAGCAGACAACTCATACGCTGGTTCGCTGCGGATGATGGGGCGTGCCCGTGCGACTGCGCTTGGCGCGGCGTCCAACCTGTTTTTTTTGTTTCGACAAACGACAGGACTACCATATCGTTCGTATCAGACGTTTTCCAGCAGTTGGTCTCCTTTATCGGACTCAGCAATTGGTGGAGCACGGATCTGGCGGCGTGCGTTGCCGTTCTCCGTTGCGAATGATGAGGGGGGGGGGGACCAGGGTACAGCATCGTTGTGCGAAACCCATAGGGGGCCGCTGGGAGGGGGGGGGTCGTAATCTCAAGGGTCAGTCAGCGCCGGGCAATGCTTTGACATTTCAGTTGATAGTGGGAGTGGAGCTATGGAAGTCAAGATGTTAAAAAAATGAAAATTATTATGAGTGTATTCTTTACAGATTTAACTGCTACGTTTAACAGCCCTCTTTTCATGCGAAATCCCCAAAGGGGTTCGTACTTGGCCGCGGGGGACGTGGGGAGTATCGCAAAAGTAGGCTCGCTAAGCATCAAACAGTGCAAAGGTGTCATTGCTAAGGCAGCGTTCAGACTTGTAGCGCTACAGCGGAGCGAAATCTGCTTTTCGAATTTGCCCCCTATCTCTGCCTGGATCTCTTCATTTAAACCGAATTTACCCTGTTTGTGTTTGACAAAGACGTACTTATAATGGACCCAAAAACGGCAAATTCAACCGAGATGGTGCCGCCGCCCCGTTCAAATGGAATCTGTAGATACGCCCATTCGGTTCTGGGATATGGAGTGAATATTGCACTAGCGCGCATATTTCCACTGCCGCAGAAAAACGGTAAGGTGAAAAGTATACCTTGACTTGGGATCATCTGGTGTTTTTACGACGGCGAAAATCTCTTCCGGATTTGGCTCTTCACCTTCAGGATGTGGTAAGCCAATGGTGAATCGTCCATTATCCATTGCAGAAAGATAGCATCTGTTACCACTACCACATTCGAACGATACATGTTCACCTCCTTTCAAATCAACTTCGTCCACAATTTTCCACCAACCGCCTGAAATGGATTTACTTGAGAAAGAATTTTGGACAAGACATCAACCGGTTCTCTTGCACTTCGCATAAATCTTTGAGGAGTCAGTTTTGAAAGGGTGGAGCTTCGAGGATGCGTGCGTCGCGACAGATGTTAGGATTAATATCTAATCACTGAAAACCGGGGAGCACACCCGTAAGCCTTTGTCAGCTTATCAAATCCTGTAAACTGCATTCACATGAATACTAGAGAACCTTGCTGACCCAGTGTCAAGAATAAATAGGAACAAAAAGGTGAATAAATTTGGGACACTTGGATCTTCCCGTATAATTCTGTCCATCCAAATTCAGGTAATAAAATAAAGGGAAGGAATGGATGACGTTAAAAATGCACCCACCATGGGAGTCCGCGTCCGGATCAGGCTTATTTCCATCACTGTTTTTTGACTTGTTCTTCTTAGGCCTGTCAGCTTTGAATCTGGAAACGAAATTATAGTGGAGGATAGAAGTCGACATCTTCTCATCAATACCGGCTCTTTTTCTATTAGATAAATTTAAAGACAATAGAGAAAATGATAAACAAAATAAGATGAAAACAACGTGCCAATAAAAATCTAAACCTACAGGCTTTTCTTGTTCCCTTTGAGCTTTAAAACACCTCCTCGCACTGCTTTGTAATCGTCTGACATAGCTGGAAATGTGAGAGTTTTGCAATTTAGCATGAACTGCAGAGAAGAATCAAGGAATGGTCAAAACATTTACGAAAAAAGAAAGTACGCTCCAATCGGAATGTTGGGCACGCTGCCAAACTACAGTACGCGTTGGCTGAGTATTCGATTCTCACCGCAGCTGTCGGCATGGTTTCGGATTTCATTTGATTGGAGCTGTCGCTCATTCTTTCCTTTTGCTATGTTTATTTTTCCTTTTAGTTTCTTATTTCTCGTCCAGTTTTGTTGGAATCGAGGTGGTTTCTGGCCTGATTCAAATGGAAGAGCAGCTTTTATTGTTTTGCTAGAGTTGTAGATGTTTTTTGTGAGCGGTTCGAGTTTTTAACCTAAACTTTCTATAGGTGCGTAGCATGGTTGAATTCTTACTTTGCTAGTGCGTGTGTCATTGATGTGGTATTCAGTCCATTTGCCTTTATCTATTGTTTTGTTTCTGCTCTAGATTAGGGCAGACCAAGGCTGTATTCACATAATTCTGGGCTTCATCAATCTCACCGAAACTGTTAGGAACCATACTGTGAGCATTCATAGGCCTTGTGGCAGAGTTATAAGTTGTAGGGGTTTAATGCCTAAAGCCTCCTTTAATACTTTCCAGAGCGCGTGATAGACCTGTACAGCCATACATTTTCCCCTGTGACATGTACTATCTTTCCGATGTTATATATAAATACCACCAATCACGCCGTGCGATTGCGTACTCACTGCTTCTACCGTAGTCCACGTCTCATGCATATTCACACTGGCTACTGCGCCAACTATATGAAGTAAAGGCAAAGAAAATGGCTGTGATTGTGCCAAAAGGGATAGTAAACGTTCGATTTTGTATCATAAATTTATCTTTAATTGGTTCAATCATTGGCACTTGTACTTCAGACCCTTTGCTAGTAGAGGATGCACTCCTCAAGTCAAACCGAGACTCATGATTGTTATAACGTGCTTAAAAGAGATTATCTCGTGGTCAAGATGCCTAGCGTGTTGCAATAATGCGTTTGCACTGTCCTCTTTCCTGTTACAGTGCAAGCGTGAGTGAAGGGGAGGCGGGGAGGGGGGAGCCACGGTCAAGTGCTTCGAGGAAATCGCGACGAAGGGGTCGTATGTTGCGTGAAGGCAGAGGGGGTGGGGTCGTAAGTACAGGCGTCAATAATGAGCAAAGCTGTGGCAGAACTAGTGAAGCACTGCATCGCTTTCGTGCCTCGCCGTGGAGTGCCGTAACTCCGTCGGATTGCAATTTCATGATAAATTGATGTAGTGTAAATGAAACTACATAGCTATTAGAAAGTGATGCGTCTAAGTATGATAACGGAACCATCAGCTGTACGACAAGGTTGTTCTTTCTATATAAAGCGCGTATTCTATGGGTCCATATTTCTATGTCACTGTGATCTTGCAAGACGAACAAGTGGCGCGTTACATAGGAAGGTTGATCACGCTCCTGTGCTTCAAGTTTCATTCTTATCAAGCGAAAGAGAAGAAAGCCTTCTGGGGTTCTGGATGGAAGTGTGGCTTGTGTAATTGAGAGACCTTCTTGTTGCAGCTTTAGTAAACTCTCGGATCAAAAACCGCGCCGAGTGTTCTTTGATATACTAGGCTTAAAATATATAATGTCCTCAATAGAAGGAGGAAAATTTCCATTTCTCAAGTTCGTCTAGTTTTGCGGTCTAAGTTATGTTGGAACTAACTCATGTCCATGAAAAAACAAAAATTCGCTTCTATCGAGAACCTCTCGCTCTGGACCGAGGCCGCATAAACACTTCTCTCTGTTGCGAGTCACACCGAACGGGTGA